AAATGCTCTGTGTTGTGGGGTTCGGGCTTTATTTTTGGATGTTCGTTGAGGTGTCCTGCCCAGCTAGGAGGCAGACTAGCCACTGTTTGCCTGCCGAGGCTCCGCCCTGCTGTTGTGTGGTTTGCCCTATTGCTGCAGGCTCTGCTGTTCTGCTGTGGTCTCCGCCACTCTCTGCAGCAGATTCTCTCTGTTGTAGCGGGTTGCCTCGGCAACAGCAGGCTGCATCAGCAGTGGGCGTGTATCTCAGTAGGGACGGGTTGCCTCGGCAATGGCTGGCTGCGTCAGCAGTGGGCGTGTATCTCAGTTGGGGCGGGTTGCCTCGGTAATGGTGGACGCCCGTCCCCCACAGAGCGTCTCGGACCATCTGAACGGGGACTGTTTGAAATCATGGTTTTGTTCGTCCCACTGGGCTACCCCAAACGCTCTGTCCCTGCAATCCCCTGGGCTGGCCCACTGTCCAAGTCTCATTCAGTCTCAAGTCCAGCCCTCTCAAGTCTCAGGTTGCCAGTTCAACAGGGCACCCGGACAAGCGCACCCTGTGGGGAGTACCTCTGCCTGGCGTCCCACGTCTCCTTTATACTTGGGAGTTTCCCCATTCTGTGGGCAACAAAGATCAGTCTGGAAATGTAGCTCCGACTCACCTCTCCAGGGATTCAATGAGAACTCCAATCCTGGGTTGTTCTCACAGCGCCATCTTGAGTCCTCCCTCCAATTCTTGCATATTTTAAATCTTATTACTTTACAGCCAAAATGCCTATTCCCTCCATGTAATTATCAGAAGCATTTTATATACACCAAATTCAAAAGTCTTTTACAGATACGTGGCTGGTGAATTACCAGATCCTTAATTCATAAATTTAACTCGTTATACTCATTGAGTTTCTTATGTGTAATGCACACAAACCCTGAGTGATTCACACAAACTATTTTTTATTCATAAAAACACATCAAAACCTTTTCGGAGAGTTGCTTTTGTCTCCTTTTGGAGTGCTCATTCTTGAGTGTGTATAAACAAGCAAATTCTTTGATATTCAAATTGATGAAAGCAGTAAAAATGAGAAATGAATCTGTCTGAAAATCATGTGCTTCCTTTTGATACATATTAATGAAAAGAGCACAGACAAAAAAGTTATTTAAGAGAATGTCTACTTCATATGCAATGAAGAACTCTCTTGCTGGTAGAAAACAGATGGAAAAGTTATTTCACAGATAATCACAAGATCAGAATTTTAGTTCTCCCCCGACCAGAAGAGTAAGTGGCTGAAAGTGTGTATTTTTGGGTGGGAGTAATATGGATTAAAGCCCTGACTCAGCAATTTGTTAGCTGAGTGACCTTAAGTTAATTAATGTTTTTGAGCTTTAATTTATTCACCCATAATGTGAAAATAATACCAACACTCATTTTAGAAAGTAATTTTAATGATTAAATAATAGTGCACATAACTTGCTTAGTATACTGCTTTGGAACTTAATTACTGTTGTTACTGTTAATATTTTTAATTTGAGTAACTTTTTTCTGTGTATCAGTTTTCTTGCCTATAAAACGAGGCTGCCGCTTAATTGACAAGTGAGAATTAAAAGAGATGACATAGAAATTATTAAAAATATTTAAATGTTATGCTATTCTGGATATCATTATGAAATATGAAATGCCATTGCCTTTATCACAATTAACAGTAAGACGCCTATTCCCCATACTATTTCAGACTGAACATATATTTTGAGTAGTTGCATCTCCTCTGTTAGCAGTGGGGGACTGGGTAACTTTAGTCCGAGATGGTTGAGTTTCTCTGGGTTTCACCAACAGATGGGATCACAGTAGCTGTAATAAATCAAATTTCACTGTCTTCTGCCCCATCTGTTCCGGCAGGACCTGCAAACAACTGCACCCCCACCTCCTCAGAGTCTGACTCAGATATGTTTGGTGGGCCCCACGAGGTATGTTATGTGAGCTCACAAGTGGCTCTCTGAGTTCTCCTCATCACGTGGTACTTGTCAGGTTCTACTCCACCATTCCAGCTCTCTTGGTCAATGTTCACAGACATCAGAGCTGTTTGAGCAGGTCCCTTGCTGCTAGCATAGCTGCTAATACCACCCCCTCTCCCACATGGAATAGTCATGCCAAGCATAATGTATCTCAGTGCTCACAAAATCATGGATCTCTAGCTGTGTTCAAGGAAGAAGGCTCTGATTCCACACTTTCCCCTTCAGCTTTGCCACACCGTTACTTAGAAATGGTGCTTTCTAATGGGCTTAGATGGGGCAGAGTATGAAGGTAGATGTTTTGCAAAAGCCGTCATGTTGTACTCCCTAGGCCCACTTTCTCTTCTTCTTCACCTCCAAATTTACTCATGCAAATAGGAACTAACAGCCTGGCTAGCTGTTTGTCTTCTCAGGTGTACACAAACATGCTTGGTTATAAAGGTAGATGCAATGTTAGCTCAACCAGACACTCCTTCTGAATGAAAAGAGTATAACCTAGTGGTGGTTAAAGCATGTTCTTCAGTAACAGACAGAAGATTCAACCTCCAGCTCTCTTATTACTAACACAATATCTCTAAATCTCAATGTCTTTTTCTATGAATTAGGAATACTAAGGACTCCTTCTAAGCTATTGAGAAAACTGTCAGTAAATGAGTATAAATATATTAAACACTAAGCATAGTTCCTGGCTCATAGTAAGCACTAAAAAGTCGGTAGTTATTAATGAGGTATTTTTTTACAATATATCTTCACCTTCTTTATTGTGTATTTCCACAGTGCCCATTAATATATAACAGTTAAAAATACTAAATTTTTCACTAGAATGATATACCTTGATAATGTAGATACCAGTTTATTCATTTTAGAGAAATAATCCACTTTTCTGATCATAAAAATAGGCTTCCAAATAGTATTGCTATCTATAGTACATTTTTACAGAATATTAATATCATTCCTTTTAACCAAGAAAATAGTTGATCAAATAATTTTTTTATCCTTATATATCTAACATTACACTTAAAAATTGGATTACTTTTTGGGGATAAGAAGAGGGTTCATTCAAACATTTGCTAGTAATGTATTATTTCATTTATTTACTCTAAAGACACAAATTGAGGCCAACAAAATGCTAAGCACTGAACTAGGTGCAAGACATATGGGGTTTACAGGGGAGGAGATGGCTTTCAAGGTGAGCAGAACAACATAAACACTGGCAGGATTAATGCATTAGGTATGTTTGGTGTGTTGTCTTGTGCCTGGAAAGCTGGGCTGGGGACACCAGGGCAGGGGCTGGGGGGGTTGAGTCATAAGTAACCTGGCTTGACTGATATAGTAGGCTCATCTCTGAGGAGCAGTAGAGAATAACCCCCAGACTTTAGAGTTCCTCCCTCTCTGCCACTCCTCTGTGGTTCACACTTCAGTCCACTCCACTCCCATTTCTAAGCTCACTGGTCCATGGACATGATCACAATCTCCTTATCTGCATCTCCAGCTCTTTCACACCTACTAAACGACCTCTTTGGAGTTTAGAGTTTGAGGAATTGATGAATTCTTCCCCTTATCCCTTGCACATGAACCCCTTCTAATTTGCTCTAGGACATTTGCCCTGCTCAGGCTATATTCTATGATGATTTCACTCTCATCCTGTTTATCTTGCATTTTCATAGTATTCTGGGTCCACTGCCACCACACTCATTCATTCTGTAGCTTGAATCACTGCAAAGGCAACAAGGTTATTGCTGCAGAAAAAGAAAATGTACTAACCCATGCTGTAAATCTGTGCTAGCCCACATCAGGGGCACTGCTGATAGCCCAACAATCTCTGATTTTTAAAAATTACCTAAACAAATTATCTCAGGATTTGTCCCATATGCAATAAATCAAACTTTAAAGTGTAAAGTCTTTGCTTTAAAATCTATCACAGCAACTTACTAGTTTGGTCAATGTCATCAAATAACTTACTCCTTCATCTGACACTTTATCTCTAACTAGAATCAATAACATCTGCCTTACATCTGTCACAGATGTATAAAGGCCCTAAATGAGAGCTGGCAGATCATATTTTTCCCTCCAGCCACACAAGTACTGGGTTTCTTCTGTCAGCCTCACTTTTCTCACCTAAAGACTATGGGTAATAACAGTACATACTTTGCCCATTTTTGAATGGGCTTGTTGTTTTCTTGTAAATCTGTTTAAGTTCCTTGTAGACTCTGGATATCAGCCCTTTGTCAGATGGGTAAACTGCAAAGATTTTTTCCCATTCTGTTGGTTGCCGATTCACTCTAATGACTGTTTCTTTTGCTGTGCAGAAGCTGTGGAGTTTGATTAGGTCCCATTTGTCTATTTTGGCTTTTGTTGCCAATGCTTTTGGTGTTTTGGTCATGAAGTCCTTGCCTACTCCTATGTCCTGAATGGTTTTGCCTAGATTTTCTTCTAGGATTTTTATGGTGTTAGGTCTTAGGTTTAAGTCTTTAATCCATCTGGAGTTAATTTTAGTGTAAGGTGTCAGGAAGGGGTCCAGTTTCTGCTTTCTGCACATAGCTAGCCAGTTTTCCCAACACCATTTATTAAACAGGGAGTCCTTTCCCCATTGCTTGTTTTTGTCAGTTTTATCAAAGATTGTATGGTTGTAGATATGTTGTTTTGCCTCCAACGCCTCTGTTCTGTTCCATTGGTCTATGTCTCTGTTTTGGTACCAGTACCATGCTGTTTTGATTACTGTAGCCTTGTAGTATAGTTTGAAGTCCGGTAGTGTGATTCCGGAGTGGGAAAAGGGGTGTCCCTCGAGGACACAAGCTAAAGGATGGGTTTGATTAGAACAGGAAGACTTTCCATTAATTCCCATGACTGAAACCTGGGAATGTATGCTAGGTCTTGAGTAGGAAGACAATACAGAATAGGTAGCCCCCTATGTACTTACCCGCTACTTGCAGCATTACCCTGGGCTCGGCAAGGGTCACACCCACCTTCTAACAGGAAGACAGATTGGGTCTGTGGTCTTCAGGCGTTTGGGCCTCATGGTACAGGTGTCGCTGTATGTGCCTAAGGAGCCAGTGCTGGACTACAACATGGTCATCATCTTCATCATGGCCGTGGGCACCATCGCCATCGGCAGCTACTGGGCCGGGAGCCGGGATGTGAAGGAAAGATATATGAAGCACAAGCACGACGACGGGCTGGAGAAGCAGGAGGACGTCTCAGCCCAAAAACTCCTGAAACTGATAAGCAACTTCAGCAAAGTCTCAGGATACAAAATCAATGTGCAAAAATCACAACCCAGGAGGCAGAAGTTGCGGTGAGCCGAGATCACGCCATTGCCCTCCAGCCTGGGTAACAAGAGCGAAACTACGTCTCAAAAAAAAAAAAATCACAAGCATTCCTATACACCAATAACAGACTTAAAGAGAGCCAAATCAAGAACGAACTGCCATTCACAATTGCTACAAAAGAGAATAAAATACCTAAGAATAGAACTAACAAGGAACATAAAGGACCTCTTCGAGGAGAACTACAAACCACTGCTCAACGAAATAAGAGAGGACACAAACAGATGGAGAAACATTCCATGTTCATGGTTAGGAAGAATCTATATCGTGAAAATGGCCATAGTGCCCAAAGTAATTTACAGATTCAACGCTATCCCCATCAAGCTACCAATGACCTTCTTCACAGAACTGGAAAAAAAACACCTTAAACTTCCTATGGAACCAAAAGAGATCCCGCATAGCCAAGTCAATTCTAAGTAAAAAGAACACAGTGTGAGCCATCACCTTCCCAGGTGCGGTTGGAGCCGCAGCCCGCGGCGCCGCAGGAGCTGGAGATGCCCTCGCTGCAGAGCAGCCTGGCCTTGGGCCTGGAGCTGAGAGCCGCAGCCGGGAGCCACTTTGATGCCGCGAAAGCCGTGGAGGAACAGCTGAGAAAGTCGTTCCAGATCCACTGCGGCCTGGAGGAGAGCGTGTCTGAGGGGCTGAACGTGCCGCGCTCCAAGAGGCTCTTCCGAGACCTGGTGAGCCGGCAGATGCCGGAGGAACAGGTTCTGAACGCCGCGCTCGGGGAGAAATTGGCTCTCCTGCAGCCGCAGGCTCCAGCCCCGCCCCCCGAAGGAGCCACCTGGGCCGGGGCCAGACATGACCATCTTGTGTGACCCAGAAACACTATTTTATGAATCTCCACACCTGACCCTGGACGGTCTGCCCCCTCTCCGGCTTCAACTCCGGCCCCGCCCTTCAGAGGACACCTTCCTCATGCACCGGACACTGAGGCGATGGGAAGCCTAGACCCCGAGGATCCTTGGAGGACTAGTTCGTATTTTTGTGTTAAACTATTTGTCAGAATAAAGTACTTTTGCTAATAAATGGGACTTCTCAGAGGCCTAAAATCTCTCTAGGGGGTTTGTCCACTTAGCCTCAGGTTGGAAGCTGCCTAGAAGTTGAGTTTGGAGGCTTTTTAGGAACTTCGTGGAGTAATGGCAAGTAGAAAACACTGTCCGCGTTAGAGATTTAGATACCACTCACTTCACAACCTTATCCACCTCTCCCTGACTTCAGCCACAGCTAATGCCTGTTTTATATCAGGCAATTGTTCTTTGTACCACTTATAAAAAAAAAAAAAAGTCCGCAAATCTGTCTCTGTTGATGTGAAGTCAGGCGCCCCCGGCTGCACATGGGACTGCTGAGCGCTGCGCTGTCTGAGGGGTCTGTTTCAGACAGAGGCAGCAGGGGTGAGCCCCGATCCCTTCCAAAAAATACCAGCAGGAGACTCGCAGGTAGTGGCGCCTTCCCTGAAGCCATTTTCTACATGGGGACGGGGCGGGGACTTCTCTTTTTTTGGTGTTAGACCTTTGACCAGTATGGAGGGGTCGGAGGTGGCAGTCGTGTCCTCATCTCCGTTTGTCCGTTTGGCCTTGCTGCCGTTCAGTCTGATCATTAAACTCAGCTTTTGAAAAAACAACAACAACAACAACAAAAAAGGTGTATGATGTATATTTCCAAATATACAAAATGTATCTGACTCAGAGTATGCGTATACACTTTGTATCCACAACTTCCTGGAGCTCTTGAAGGCGGTCTGGAAGAGGCGGCTCATCTTCACAGTGGGCACGTCCAGCACCACGGGCGAGACAGACACAGTGGTGTGGAACAAGATCCACCACAAGACAGAGATGGACCGCAACGTGACGGGCCACGGCTACCCTGACCCCAACTACCTGCAGAATGTGCTGGCCGAGCTGGCTGCCCAGGGGGTGACCGAGGACTGCCTGGAGCAGCAGTGACCTCTGACCCCAGCACGCCCGCCCGCCTTGGGTGCCCGCCCTGCTGCCCCATGGCTGGCTGGGTGGGCAGGCGGAATTGCCCGGCCTGAGAGGCTGGGAGGTTTGTTGGAGGTTTGGGGTGAGCCCCACCTGAAGCCAGGGTTCCACCCTGCCTGCCTCTTCCTCCTCCTCCCCTCCGGGAATTGGGCAGCCCTGGGCAGTTGTACTCATGGGGGCCTAAGATGCAGCTACCTCAGTGCACGGGGCCCATCTGTCCTCCAGGGGCTACTTCAGCCCGCGGTGCTCAGGGCCTGGCATGGGGCAAGTAGATGCTTCCCTAGTCTGGGTGGGCTTGGGTTCTGAGTCAGCTTCTTTTACCTCAGTCTTATTTGCAATAAATGCTCTATAGCAAAAAAAAAAAAAAAAAAAAAAAAAAAAAAGTGCTGAGATTACAGGCGTGAGCCACCGCGCCTAACCTTTTTTTTTCCCCCGCTGAGATTCACAAGTTTATTTCCTATCTGTATTGACAAAAAAAAAAAAAAAAAAAGTCACAGCATTTCAGACTATTTAAACACACAAATAGGAACAGAGGGTACCCAGCAGTGACAGCCTCATCCCGAAGGTCCGGATCAAAGGCCACACTGGAGGGTGCGGGTGTCCTCTTGGGCCTCTCCTCAGCATCCTGTGGCTCCCCGCCCCCAGCCTCGCTGACACCCCCGGAGCAGTTACAACTGTGCAGAAAGGAAGCCACTTTAGAGGAGGCCGGGCCCCACCTCACTGTCATCGCATAAGTCCAGATTCTGAGGAAAAGACAGAATCAGTGCTACTGTGTCATTGCTTGAGGGATGCTGGGTGCTCCTTGACCTGGCTGGCATCACCTGCGTGCCAGACCTAGGGAAGAGAAAAAGGCAGGCCCCTCCCCACTTGGCAATACTGGGCAGCACAGAGTGTGGGTCACTGGTCACGTGACAGCCCCAAACTGCCACGCAGACCTCTCTGACGTGATTAGCCAGACACTCTGAGGGCACAAGGCTTTCAACTAAGAACACCAGCCTGGTTCCTAAAGGGTGTGGGTGAACAACGCCCCCAGAAATCTGAAGTGCACACACATATTACATGTGTATACTTCCTGATGGAGACAGGAAAATACCCTCCGAGGTATTTTTATATGTGTACATATACACATATATACCCTTGTATATATATATGTAAATAAACACATGGTGCTTTTTTTTTTTGATGTTTCATGAAATCTTTAATGAAATTGGGGAGAGGGGCACGAACAGAAGGGAGGGGCACCGGGGACAGGCTTTGGGGCAAGGGATGTGGGCATGGGACATGGCAGGGTAGGGGGCTCTCCTCTTCCCTGCAGCAACCCTTCCCCAATCATCCCACTGATGGGGGAGGGAAGTGGGGTGGTGGAGCCATAAATATGTCCAGAATTTCAAAGAGATGAGGGGCAAAGAGCTGTCCAGGGCTCTCAGAGAGGGGGCAGGGGCAGGCCCCGGCCACCCTTGTCCGGGTGCCCTGGCTCCTTGGGCGGCCGTGGGGGCCCCGGGGGTCCCCTGGCTTGTGACCGTGCTTGTGGAAGTAGCGGTAGCGCTGGATGTGGGCCCGCACCAGGTTGCTCACCTTCACCTGGTTGATCTCCCGGCTTTTGCTGTGGCAGATCTTGTGGACCGCCTTCCTCAGAATGTCCTTGTACTCCTCCTTGGTGATGTCCTTCTTCTGGTAGTACGGCTTGATGGCCAGCTTCACCTCCTCCACCGCCAGCTCCTGCGTTGCAGCTTCTTCAGATACTTATCTGCGTCCCCATGTCCGTTGGAGCTGCTGCTGCCCTCTCTTGCCAGAAGTGGCAGCCAGCCCGGTGGGGATGGGAGGGGTCTAGCCGCAGCCCCCCAGGAGGAGGCTGCCAGGAAGCAGGTAGCTGGAGGGGCCAGGGGCAGACCCAGAGAGGTAGGCACAGAAGCTGGGGTCACCCCCAGACTTGAGGGTGGCTTTCTGTGGCTGATGATCTGGTTGGTGGCCTGGATCAGCTACTGGGCCTTTGCTCGGCTCGCCAGATTGGCTTTTTCCATCTTGAAGAGAAGAGCAGTCAAGGCCAGGACGCCGCTGGTGATGCAGTCCACACCAGCTGGCAGGTTCCAGGGCATGGGTGGGGGCAGCGTGTGCAGCTGAGAGACACGGGAAGCCGGCCTGTCCTCCGCCCCCTAGTCACCGTCTGTGGACCCCACGCTGGGGGCAGTGCTTGGGGCTGCCGCAGCAGTGCTGGTGGTCTTGGTGGTGGCAGGCTGCTGCTCCTCCTCCTCCTCCTCTTCCTCGTCCTCCTCCTCTTCCTCGTCCTCCTCCTCCTCTTCCCCCGCTCAGACCCCAGCCTCCTCGGTGGCCTCCTCAGGCTGGAAAAAGACCTCGGGTGTCTTGCAGCTGCTGTCCACAGTCTGTGAGTCTGGTGTGAGGGCAGGGGGCGGTGGGGCTACCTTGGGGGGTGGGGTGCTAGGGACCTTGGCTGCCCGTTCCTCTCCGGACCACAAAATCTCCTCCACCCCCTTGGTGCCCGCCGCCTGGCTGCAGCTATCTGCCTTGGACTTCTTCAGCGACTCTGGGCCACCGCTGCCCACGTTACCGCCTCCGCTGCGGACCTTTTTCCTGGTCTTGGATGGCTTGGTCTTTCCCTTGGTCCCCTTGGCTTTCTTGGCCCCAGCCTTGGCCTTGACCTTGGTCTTTTTGGGCTTGGTGCTGCCCGGAGCTGCTTTGGCTATCTCAGTCGGGGCCCGCTCGTCAGGTTTGAGGAAAGGGGAGCGACTCTCCGGGTCGCGGCTGAATTTGACGCCGATGGAGCCCAGGACGGCCGACACGGCGTCCTTGGCGCGTGGTGCTGCTGACACCCTTGCTGATCAGCACTGCCACCTTGGACTGAAGCTTCCCCTTCCGGGAGGAAGAGGAAGAGGACGAGGATGAAGAGCCTGAGCCGCTGCTGACCGGTGGCTTTGGCGGGGGCCCTGAGGAAGGCGCTGACTCCTTGGGGGGCCGGGCCTTCTTGGATGACCTGTCCCTGTCCCTATCTCTGTCCCTGTCCCAATCCCGGTCCCCCGCGTCCAGAGCCTTCCGACGAGACCATTCTCCCGGGAGGAGGAGGAAGAGGAAGCAGCCCCCGAGCGGTGCCGGTCCTTCTGGCTGCTTTTGCCGCTCCGATCCTCGCCGCTCAGTCCCTCAGAGTCCTACAGGACCTCCAGCTTAGGTGACAAGACCGGGGCAGGAGAGGGTCCTCGGGGGTCGGACTTGTCAAGCCGGCCCACCATGGTGGTCCGCTTGATGGCGAAGAGGTAGTGGTCCGTGCGGTCCTGTATGGAGGGCGGCATGGCCCCCCGGCGGCGGCTGCCGCGGTCACCGCCAGAGGTGGAGCCGGAGGGCGGCGGAGCAAGTGTCCGGGCCTTCTCACTGCCATCTCCAGACCACTTCTCGCCCCGGGACCGCGACCGCTTCTTCTTGCTGCCGCCACCGTCCCGGTGTTTCCCGCGGTGCTGCTCACGCTTCGAAGATGACGACGAAGAGGTGGCTGGGGGTGGGGAAGCCGAGCGCCTCCGCCACCGCCGCTGCAGCTTTTCCCGGGACCGCGACCTGAGGCTGCCTCCGCGGCGGCGGGTGGAGCGGGATCGGGAACGGCGGCGGGCAGACGACGAGGTATGGGAGCCGGGCTTGCAGTCCCGCGAGCGGTGCTTCTTGGAGTCCCAGGGCGAGGCTGGGGCGGGCGGCGCAGGCTGGGTACCCGACGAGGGCGAAGCCGCCTCCTTGGCCTCACCGCTGCGCTCGCGCTCCCGCCGGGACTTCTTGCGCGTGGGGGGACCCACGGCGGCTGCCTGGGCTGGCGCGGGTGCAGGGGAGGGCGAGCGCTGGCGGTAGCGCTCCCGCCGCTGGGTCAGGATCTTGCGGCGCAGGTCCAGGCCGCCCCAGCGCTAGTCAGTAGCAGACTGCGCAGGGCTGGCTCCCCCAGGTCCACCTGCAGGGCGCCCTCACCATCCGACTCCGCGTGCAGGGACAAGAAGTCATCCCCCCCTGGGGCCCCGGGAGCAGGAGGCTGGTGTAGGGGCTGGGCCGCAGGTGTGGCCAAGGCGGCCAGCGGAGGCGGAAAAGGGACAGTGCCACCCTGGGCTCCTCCTCTGGCTGGACAATCTCGCCCTCCTCAATGTCCGAGTCTCTGGGTGGCAGCAGGGGTGGCGGGAGGGCGGCTCCACCAGCGGTCACCACCTCCACAGAGACCTTGCCTTCCCGACAGGCCTCCTCCTCGGTCCCCACCGCGAAGACCCGCGCGTGGCTCCATCAGCCCGGGAGGAGTCCGCCTGGGGCGGCGTTCCAGGGGCCGGAGTCAGCTGTGCTGGCTGTGGGTCCGGGCGGGGGCTCTCGTCACCTGGGAAGTCCTGGCTCAGGCTGTTGTCATCGTAGATGCCCGCCAGGGTTTCCGAGATGCGGCTGATGCTCTGGGACAGGCCCTCTTCCTCCTCCTCCTTTTCCTCTTCCTCCCCCTCTTCCTCCTCGGGGGAGGGGGTCCCGGCTGATGAACTGGGGTTGGAGCCAGTGGGCTCGAAGGGGTCGTACTTTTGCTCTGGAGAGTAGGCCTCGTCGGTGGGGTGGAAGGGGTCATAGATGTCGAATCAGGGGGCAGGTGGGGGTGGGGGAGGGGAAGGGGAGGAAGATGAGGGAGAAGGAGAAGAGGTGGAGGACGCAGAGGATGGGGCAGGAGGTGGGGCAGGGCCCCCGTCTCCAGTGCCCAAGGTGAGGTGACGGACACAGGTGGGCCAAGAAGAGTTCGACTATGGAGAAACCGTTTTGCCCATCCCTGAGCCTGGGCAGCAGGCAGAAGGATGGGATCTCTGTCCCCGATTCAGACCTCGGCCACCAGCTCCAGCATGTCCTCACTTTCGCCAGGACGCAGGTCCAGGCGGCTGAGAATTCAGGTATCCGGGGGATCCAGGACACTCACAAGCCCTGCGAGGAAGTTGTCCACAGCCATGTCCAGCACAGTAGCTGTGTCAGTCCCCCCTGATTCCTGGGAACAGGGCTCTGACAGTGGACTCCGGTGGCGCCACCATCGAAGGCCATGACACCGAGAGCCATCTTTGTTATTGATTGGGCAGGTATCCCTGCAGGGAGCTTCCCATGCCCTGCTGGATAGCTCGCCCTCCCCAGCTTCTGCGGCTCACCTCCCTTCAGCAGGGCAAGGTCAGGTGCCCCCTCCTTGCCTCGCTTCTCTTCTCTATCCCCCTCCACCAACTCCTGTGCCCGCGGAGATCCTGGCGGTCCCCTCACTCAGGGCTGTAGCAGGCTGCGGAGCTGACAGCGTCCCCACAGCCATCCTGCCCAAACTATCCGGAAGCGGCACGAGCTCAGGCCGCTGCAGCCCCTGCGGACCCACTATTGAACCTGAGGAGCCAGCCCTCCTCCCGCACTTAAACTTGGAGCACTTGACCTTTGGCTGTTGGAGGGGGCCGCCCGCGGGTGGCTGGACAGCTGCGGAGCGGCGAGGATGTCTTGCCTGGAGAGTAGGCTGCACTCCTGGGCTCCTGGCTTTGCCTCTGGGATACCAAGGTGTCCACATCAGACACATGTTGACTGAGACCTAGAGTCATGGATATATGCTCTCGTCTTGCCCTGTGGCTCCTCTGGGGACTCCTCCCGCACCAGGGTCAGAGCCTCAGCCATAGTCACAGTGAGAAGGCCACAGTAACCAGCTCAGGGGCCAACTCTGAGGAGTCCACTGCAGCAGAGTTTTGTCTAATTGACAAGGCCCTGTGTCACAGTGAGGATGAGAAACTCAGCTTTGAGGCAGTCTGTAACATCCACAAGCTGATGGATGATGATGCCAATGGTGATGTGGATGTGGAAGAAAGTGATGAGTTCCTGAGGGAAGACCTTAATTACCATGACCCAACAGTGAAACACAGCACCTTCCATGGTGAGGACAAGCTCATCAGTGTGGAGGACCTGTGGAAGGCATGGAAGTCATCAGAAGTATACAGTTGGACCGTGGATGAGGTGGTACAGTGGCTGATCACATATGTGGAGCTGCCTCAGTATGAGGAGATCTTCTGGAAGCTGCAGCTCAGTGGCCATGCCATGCCAAGGCTAGCTGTCACCAATACCACCATGATAGGAACTGTGCTGAACACAGACTGGAGCCATCGGCAGAAGCTGCAGCTGAAGGCCCTGGATACAGTGCTCTTTGGGCCTCCTCTCTTGACCCGCCATAATCACCTCAAGGACTTTATGCTGGTGGTGTCTATCCTTATTGGTGTGGGCAGCTGCTGGTTTGCCTATATCCAGAACCGCTACTTCAAGGGGCACATGAAGAAGATGATGAAAGACTTGGAGGGGTTACACCAAGCTGAGCAGAGTCTGCATGACCTTCAGGAAAGGCTGCACAAGGCCCAGGAGGAGCACCACACAGGCAGATGGTCTCAGAATATAGAGGCAGAAGGCAATGCCCAGGGCATCCTGGAGGACCCAGGCCCACTGGTCCTCGTTGCGGAAGATGCCCCACACCATGCTGACAGCCACGCAGAAGAGTGCCAGGAGCAGCATGCTCACCTGTGGGCGCTTGTGGAAGTAGGGCAGGCTGTTGTTGGGGACCCTGCACTCGCCAAAGGGCAGCCACTGCACACAGGGCTCCAGGCAGCTGTAGAGGCCGGTGACAGAGGCCAGGCAGAAGATCCTGATGACCACATACATGAGGAGGTCGTAGAAGTGGTAGAGCAGGACCAGCATGGAGCTGAGACAATGGGGTCTTCTAGATACACTATCATGTCGTCTGCAAATAGAGACAATTTGGCTTCCTCCCTTCCTATTTGAATACCCTTTATTTCTTTTTCTTGCCTGATTGCTCTGGCTAGAACTTCCAGTACTATATTGAATAGGAGTGGTGAGAGAGGGCATCCTTGTCTAATGCTGGATTTCAAAGGGAATCCAGTTTTTGCCCATTCAATATGATATTAGCTGTTGGTTTGTCATAAATAGCTTTTATCATTTTGAGATACGTTCGTCAATACCCAGTTTATTGAGTGTTTTTAGCATAAAGGGCTAACCACATACTTTTTAGTATGGTCTCCATCCTAAGGTAAAAGGTACCCCTTTTAGTGTATACAGACCACAATGGTGGTTTTTTTGTGTGGTCTGTATCCATACTTTGTATGCAGGTACATCTTTATAAACAGTATCACGAGTACATCACAACTGGGAGTGAGCACCACCTCTTACCATGAAAACCCAGTTCCTGTGTTTTTGTTTTTGTTTTTGTTTCGAGGCGGAGTTTTGCTCTTGTTACCCAGGCTGAAGTGCAAAGGCGTGATCTTGGCTCACCGCAACCTCTGCCTCCTGGGTTCAGGCAATTCTCCTGCCTCAGCCTCCTGAGTAGCTGGGATTACAGGCATGCACCACCATGTCCAGCTAATTTTTTGTCTTTTTAGTAGAGACAGGGTTTCATCATGTTGACCAGGATGGTCTCCATCTCTTGACCTCTGATCCACCCGCCTTGGCCTCCCAAAGTGCTGGGATTACAGGCTTGAGCCACCGCGCCCAGCCAATCTATAGATTTTTTAAGGCCAGGCACAGTGGCTCATGCCTGTAATCACAGAACTTTGGGAAGCCGAGGCGGGCAGACCACTTGAGGCCAGGAGTTCAAGACCAGCCTAGCCAACATGGCGAAACCTCCTCATCTCAACTAAAACTACAAAAAGTAGCTGAGCGTGTTGGCACACACCTGTAGTCCCAGCTAGTTGAGAAGCAGAGGCAGAAGAATCACTTAAACCTGGGGAGGTGGGGATTGCAGTGAGCTGAGATCACACCACTGCACTCCAACCTGGGCAACAGGGTGAGCAAGACTCCATCTCAAAACAACAACAACAAAATCTGTAGATGTTTTTTCTCTTTGTTCTCTTTGTCTAAATGTATAGATTTTTTTCTAAATGTTGTGATTTTTTGTTTCTTGAGACGAAGTCTGGCTCTGGTCACCCAGGCTGGCCAGGCTGGTCTTGAACTCCTGACCTCTGTCCACCTCAGCCTCCCAAAGTACTGGGATTACAGGCGTGAGCCACGGCGCCTGGCCTAGTCTTTCACCATTGTGTATGATGTTAGCCATGAGCTTCTCATACATGGACTTTGTTAGATTGAGGTAGTTTCATTCTGTTCCTTTCATTCTGCTGAGTGTTTTTATCATGAAAGGATGTTGAATCTTTTCAAATGCTTTTTCTGCATCAATTGAGATGATCATGTGGCTTTTGTCCTCATTCTGTTGATGTGATGTATCACATTAATTGATTTTTGTTATGTTGAACCATAGTTGCATTCCAGGAATAAACTTGGTCGTGGTGATTAATCCTTTTAATGTACTGTTGAATTTCATTTCCTAGTGTTTTGCCGAGGACTTTTGCATCAATATTCATCAGGGATACTGGCCCGTAGTTCTCTTTTCCTGTATTGTCTTTGTATGGCCTTGGTATCAAGATAATGATGGCCTCATTGAATGAGCTTGGAAATATGCCCTCCTCTTCAATTTTTTTGGAAGAATTTAAGGATGATTGGTTTTATTTCTTTTTAAAATGTTCATAGAATTCATCGGTGAAGCCATCTGGTCCGGGACTTTTGTTTGTTTGGAGGTCCTTTATTACTAATTCAATCTGCATACTCATTACTGCTCTTTCAGATTTTCTATTTCTTCATGATTCGGTCTTCCTAGGTTGCGTGTTTCTAGGAATTTATCCGTCACTGTTCATAGTATTCTCTTATAGTCCTTTTTTGCCTGTGGCATCTCTTGTAACAGGCCCTCTTTCATTTGAGTTGAATCTTTGCTCTCTCTCTTTTTTTTTATTTTGAGACAGTCTATTTAAAAATCACAACATTTAGAAAAAATCTATACATTTAGACAATAGAATAGTTTGTTTGTTTGTTTGTTTTAGTTAGAGTCTCACTCACTCTGCTGCCCAGGGTAGAGTATAGTGGTGCGATCTCGGCTCACTGCAACCTCCACCTCCTGGGTTCAAGCCATTCTTCTGCCCCAGCCTCCCGATAGCTGAGATTACAGGCGTGTGCCACCACGCCCAGCTAATTTTTGTATTTTCAGTAGAGATGAAGTTTCACCATTTTGGCCATCCCAAACTCCTGGCCTCAAGTGATCCACCTGCCTTGGCCTCCCAAGTGCTGGGATTACGCACGCCCGGCCTCTTTTTTCTTAGTTAACCTAGCTAAATGTTTGTCCATTTTTTTTGCTCTTTTCAAGAAACCAACTTTTCACGTTGTGAATTTTCCTATTGTCTTTTTGTTCTCTGTATCTATATAGATATCTCTATATGTCTGAACTTTAATGCTTCCTTCCCCTGCTAGCTTCGGTTTCAGTTTTCTCTTTGCTCTTGAGTGTCTTGACAGGCAGAGTTAGATTGTTGATTCAAGATTTTCTTTTTTAAAAAAATGTACGTATTTATAGCTGTAAAATTCCCTCTTAGCACTGCTTTTACTGCATTCCATAAGTATGTTGTGATTTCATGTTTTTCTTTTATCCATTGGCTGTTTAAGAATGTGTTGTTTAGGCCGGTGCAGTGGCTCAGTCCTGTAATTTCAGCACTTTGGGAGGCCGAGGTGGGTGGATCAACTGAGGTCAGGCATTTGAGACTAGCCTGGCCAACATGGTGAAACCCCATCTCTACTAAAAATATGAAAGTTAGCCAGGCGTGGTAGTGGACACCTGTAATCTCTGCTACTCTGGAGAGTGAGGCAGAAGAATTGCTTGAACTAGGGAGGTGGAGGTTGCAGCGAGCCAAGATCACGTCACTGCGCTCCAGCCTGGGTGACAGAGCAAGACTCCATCTCAAAAAAAAAGAGAATGTTTTGTTTAATTTGCACATGTCTGTAGATTTTCATTGTGTTCTTGATTTCCAGTTTCATTTCATTCTAATTGAAAAAGTTGGTTTGTATAACTTCAGTCTTTGTGTGTTTGTTGAGACTGGTTTTATGCCTAATACATGGTCTGTCCTGGAGAATGTTTCACGTACACTTGAGAAGAACTTTTATTATGCTGTTTTTGGGCAGCGTGTTCTGTAATTGTCTGGTTCAACTGCCTGTAGAGTTGTTCAAGTCCTCTATTTCCCGATTGATCTTCTGTCTGTTTCTTCTATTGGTTTATTGAAAGTGAGATATTAAAGTCTCCTAATATTATTTTGCTGCTCTCTATTTCTTCCTTCAATTCTGCCAAAGTTTCCTTCGTATATTTAGGAGTTCTCAGGTTTGGTGCATAAATATTTATCATTGTTACATCTTTTTGGTGACAATATTTTTATCACTATACAAGGTGTTTCTTTGCTTCTTGTAACAGTTATTTTTTTCCCACTTGTCAGCAGTGATTCCTTTTTTCTAAGTGACAGAGGCTAACTGCACATATTCCTGAGTTACATAGTGATGTTTTGATACATATAATATGTAGTGATTAGCTCATGGCAATTAACATAGCCATTATTTCAAACATTTATTATAATTTCTTTCTGTTGGGAACATTCAATACCCTCCTTCTAGCTGCTGAAACTGTATACTATACTATTGTTAACTATAGTCATCCTACAGTGGCACAGAATACTGGAACTTACTCCTTTTATCTAGCTGCAGTTTTATATCCTTTAACAATCTCTTCCTATGCCTCTCTTCCTCCTACCCTTCCTAGTCTCTAGTATTCTCTGCTGTACTGTTTACTTCTGTGAGATCAACTTTTTTTAGCTTCCACATATGAGTGAGAACATGTGATGTTTAACTTTCTGTTCCTGGCTTATTCTGCTTAACTAAATGTCCTCTAGTGCCATCCATGTTGCCACAAATGACAGGATTTCATATTTTATGACTCAGTAGTATGACATTGTCTATCTATACCACATTTTCCTTATCCATTCAACTGTTGTTGGATACCCAGGTTGATTTCATATCTTGGCTACTGTGAATAGTGGTGCAATAAACACGGAGGTGCAGCTGTCTCTTCAAAATACTGAGTTCCTTTCCTTTGGATAAATGTCCAGTAGTGGAATTGCTAGATCATATGGTAGTTCTGTGTTTTTTCTTTCATTTTAAAATTTTTATTATTTTTTTAATGTATCTATTTTTTTTTTTTTTTTTGGAGACAGAGTCTCACTGTATCACCCAGGCTGGAGTGTAGTGGTGTGATCTTGGCTCACCACAACCTCTGCCTCATGGGTTCAAGCGATTCTCCTGCCTCAGCCTCCGAGTAGCTGCCCAGGCTGGTCTCGAACTCCTGACCTCAGGTGATCTGCCCACCATGGTCTCCCAAAGTGCTGGGATTACAGGCATGAGCCACAGCTCTGGGACTTTTTTTTTTTTTAAGAGTTTGTTACCCAGGCTAGAGTGCAGTGGCAAGATCACAGCTCACTGCAGCCTTGAACTCCTGGGCTCAAGCAGTCCTCCCAAATCAGCTTCCCAAGAAGCTGGGACTACAGGCATGCAACACCATGCCTAGCTAATTTTTAAAAGTTTTTTGTAGAGATAGTGTCTTACTGTGTTGCCCAGGGTGGTCTCAAACTTCTGGACTCAAGTGATCCTCCTGCCTTGGCATCTCCAAGTGCTGGGGTTACAGGTGTGCATCACCATGCCCAGCTTGCAGTTTTCTGAGGAACCTCCATACTATTCCCCATAGTGGCTATACTAGTTTACATTCCCATCAAGAGTGTTATGAGAGGTACCTTTTCTCCACATCCATGCCAGCCTTTGTTATTTTTTGTCTTTTGGATAATAGCCATCCTAACTGGGGTGCGATGCTTTTATTGTGGTTTTGATTTGCATTTCCCTTATGATTAGTGACTTTTTTCAACATTTAAAAA